GTGAAAATGAAAAATGTGTCTTTTACAGAAAAAACTAAATGAGCAACCCAATATTTACCTTCTTATTATTATTGAGTTGCAAGAATTCGCTATATGTTCTACATGCAAGTTCTTTATCAGAAGTATGATTTGCAAGCCCAGGCTGTGGCTTGCCTTTCATTTCCTTACCGGTCTCCTTTGAGCTGCAAAAGTTTGCACTCTTAACATAGTCAGTGCCTCAATTTCTTTTCTCTTAAGGCTCATGCTTTACTGTCATATCTGAGAACTCTTTGCCAAACCCAAGGGCACAAAATTTTTCTCCTACGATTTCTTCCAGACATTTTATAGTGTTAGCTCTTATGCTTAGGTTTATGGTTTATTTTGAGGTCATTTTGTGTATGGTATGAGATAAGTATCTAAATTTATCTTTTTGCTTACCCATGTCCAGTTGTCCCAGTACTATTTACTGGCGTGTGCAAGGCTATCCTCTCCCCAGTGGATTTTCTTGGCATCTTTGTCAAAAATCAATTAGTCATAAATGTACTGGTGTATTTCTAGATTCACAATTATGTTGCATTGATTTGTATATCTATCCTGTGCCAGTATCACACTGTCTTAATTACTGTAGCTTTAGTGTGCATTGAAATCAGTTATGAATTTTCCAACTTTGTTGTTTTCTTTTTTTATTGCTTTGGCTCTACTAGATCTTTTACATTTCCCATGTATTTTAGGATCAGCTTTTAATTTCTACTAAAAAGCCTACTGGGATTTTGGAAGGAATTATGTTGAATCTATAGCACACCTTGGGAAGAGGTGTCATCTTAACATTCCGTGGACAGGAACATCTCTCCAGTTAGCTAGACCTTCTCTAATGTAGCAATAGTTTGTAGGCCACTGGTCAGTGGACAGATCTCACACTATTTTTGTTAAGTTTATCCCATAATATTTTGTTCTTTTTCATGCCCTTGTGAATGGAACTTTTTTCTTGGTTTTTAGCTTGTTCATTGCTAGTTTATAGAAATATAATTGATCTTTGTTTATTGATCTTTTGCCCTGTGACCTGGATAAACCCATTCTACTAGTTTTTTGGTGTGTGGAGTCCTTAAGATTTTTCAACTTATAGGATCATGTCATCTTGTGAATAAATAGTTTTACTCCCCCTTTTCTTTGGCTAGAACCTCCAGTGCAATATTGAATGGAAGTGGCAAGATCTTTCATGTACACCTGTGCCCAGTGTAGGGGGAGTGTGCAGTCTTTCAGCATTAACTATGTGATCTGCAGGGTTTTTATAAATGCCCTTTATCAGGCTAAGAAAGAGCCCTTCCACTCCTAGTGTGCTGAAACATTTTCCCATGGATTTGAAGAATACTTTCATGCATCTGTTGGGATAATCATTTATCCATGGTTTTTATCCATAAAATCCACCATTTATCCGTGGTTTTTGTCCTTTATTCTATTAATATGGCATAATTATACTGATTTTCAGATGTTATACCTTGCATTCCTGGGAAAACCACCCCTGATCATGGTGTATATCTTTCCTATATATAGCTGAATTTGGTTTGCTAATATTTTCTTAAAGATTTTGCATCTACATTCATGATGGATACTCGTCTATAATTTTTATCTTTTCATCATAATATCTTGATCTGGCTTTAGTATCAGGGTAACATTGGCCTCACAGAATAGTTTTGGAAGCATTGTCTGCTCTTATGCTTTTTGAGTTTGTAAAAAATTGGCATTATTTTTTCTTTAAATATTCGATAGAATTCACCAATGATGCCATCTAGGCTAAGACTTTGACAGATTTTAAATTAATTCAATTAATTTATTTGTTATAGGTCTATTCACCTTCTATTTCTTGTTGAGTTCATTTTGGTAATATATGTCTTTCCAGGAACTTATTCACTTCAACTAAATTCTCTAGTTCCTTGGCATGAAGTTGCTCATAATATTCCCTTACAATCCTTTTCTTTATAGTCAGTAGTAACATCCCTTTTTTTGTTCTTGATTTTGGTCATTTGTGTCTTTACTTTCTCATTTTCTTGGTCTTACTTACCAACATCAAATCCCTGGTAAGTGTTTGTCAGCTTTTCAGATCTTACCAAAGAACTACAATTTTTGGTTTCAGTGATTTTCTCTGTTGTTTTTCTCTTGTCAATGATTTCCACTCTAAATGTCATTATTCCCATCTTTCTGCTTTATTTAGGTATAGTTTGCTCTTCTTCTTCTTCTTCTTCAAAAAATATATATATGGCCCTGGCTGGTGTGGCTCAGTGGATTCAGTGCTGACCTGTGAACCAAAATTGTTGCTGGATCAAATCCAAATCAGGGCACACACCTGGGTTGTGGGCGGTGGGGGGGGGGGGGCGGTGAGAGGTAACCAACTGATACATCTCTCACACATGGATGTTTCTCTCCCTCTCTTTCTCCCTCCCTTCCCATCTCTCTAAAAATAAATACAATTTTTTAAAAGCAAAAAAAAAAATATGTGTGTATGTATGTATATATATATTCCAGAGGAAGGGAGAGAGAGGCACACACACACCCCTCAACCTAGGCATGTGCCCTGACCAGGAATCTAACCCATAACCTTTTGGTTTATGAGATGATGCTCCAAGTAACCGAGCCACATCAGCCAGAGCTAGTTTGCTCTCCTTTACTAGTTTCTTTGTAAAGGAATATTAGTCTATTGATTCGGGACACCTCTCTTCTTTTCTGATGTAGGCATTTATAACTATGCATATCACCCATAGTACTTACTGCTTTAATTGCATCTAACACATTTTGATATGTTCTTTCTTTTCATTCAGTTTAAAATATTTCAAATGTTCTCTTGTGAGTTATCCTTTGACCCAGGAGTTTAGAAGTGTGTTGTTTAATTTCCAAATAGTTGGGTTGTTCCCAGATTTCTTTCTGGGAGGTATCTCTAACTGAATTCTGTTGTGGTCAGAGAACATACCACATTTTGCATGAGTGCAGTGTTTCTAACTGTCCCAAGACCTGCCTGGAGCCTAGCACTTGCCCGCCTGGGAGTCTGTTGCGTGCAGCCCTTCCCCAGGCACTGCTGTGCATTCATTCACTTGCCTGGACTATTCTTGTGAGTCCTGCCTCCAGTCTGCAGCTGCTATCTCTGCTTAGTTTTGTTGTTTGGTTTCTTTCTTGTTTATTTTTACACTTAGGTTCCTAGGAGTCACTCCTACGTCTGCATAGCTCAGTGTTCAGCCAGTTACTGACTGTGGTTGACTATGGTGTTCGGACATCTCCGATCAGCGGAAGGCTTCCATTTTCTGCTGAAGGCTCCTCATGTGGATTGGGGGCACTTTCCAACTTCAGGTTGTTTCAAGTCTGTCCAGCTTTTACTTCCTTCTGGGTCCCCCTGCATCTCTTCTGTCCAAGCACAAGCTCCACCATCTGGGCTGTGTGGGTGGCATGGGTCTGCTCCAGTCTCTGCTACACCTATGCACAGCCTCCAGCCAACCTTCGGTACATGGAGAACTCACCAAGCTCCCCACCCCCAACCTGCTGCTTTACTTCATGGAGCGCTCCACTGAGTCCCTGTCTGTCTACTGGCTCACTGCTTCTCCAAAATAGATCTACAACCTAGGGCTGGCAGGGCTACTGGCCCTTCCTGTGACTGCTATTGAGATGGTTATTGTGCGTCACCATGCTCTAAAGGGCCTCTCCACCTTGACACTACTGGCATTTGGGGCAGGGCCATCCCTTGTTGAGGGGCTGCCCTGTGCAGTGTAGGATGTTCAGCAGGATCCCGGTCTCCACCCACTAGATGGCAATAGCAGCCCCAGTTACAACCAAAGCCATCACCAACACCTCCTGGAGGGCAAGGCTGCCCCCCGGGGTAAGAATACTGGTCCACAGCATATCAGTCATAATTTTGGAGAAGTTTTTTTTATAACCAAAATCATCATCTTCTGTGTCATGATATATAATAATGAGAAATGTGTGCACCATATTTCAAAGTTCAAGAGGCACACACCTCCTACCCCCAATGTGTAACATCTTTGCTTCAACTTATAAAAGCAAACCACAAAAACTCCACATTCATCATCGTAACAAAATAAAGACCATAATGTATCCATTGATCAACAGTGCTGACAGAGCATGAGTTATACCTGTGTCCCCCAGTTCATTTGGTCTGGGGTCAGTTTGGGAGGCCGAGACTGGTAAAATAAAGCAGCATCTGTACTTTCTCCAGAGCGGGCAGGGGCTGCCCATCTTGGATGGAATAAGACAACCCCTTCACTTTCATGTAGTAGGCGGAACAATGGCCCCCAAAGAAAGCCTGTTTTAATCCTGGGGCCTGTGAATGGTAGGCTGTTTGGGAGGAGGATTTTGCAGATGTCACAAAGGATCTGCAGATGGAGACCTTCCTGGATTGTCCAGGTGGCTCAGAGTAATCACAAGGGTCCTCATGAGTGAGAGAGCAGGGCAGAGTCAGAGATGTGACTGCAGAAGCAGAGGGGCAGCGAGGCCCTTGTGGTCAGAGATTGGGAGCCAGGGGAAGCAGGCAGCTTCCAGATGCTTCAAAAGGCAAAGAAACGTTGTCCCTGGGACCTCCAGAAGGAAGCAGTGTTGACTTGAGCTCAGTGAAAACCATTTTGGACTTCTAATCTCCACAACTACAAAATAATAAACATGTCTCATCATAAGCCACTCCATTTGCAGCAATTTGCCACAGCAAAAATAGAAAACCAATGCATCACATCTTTGTATGGAGTTAGTCCAGCCTCCCAGACCTGCACTCTCTCATGAGGCAGTGGTGGTGTGGAGGTACAGGCTGAGGCTCTGCAGTTGTGTTCAAGACACAGCTGCTTTGTGTGATGCTGGGCAAGTGGCTTGACCTCCCTGGCCCAGTCTTCTCCTGGAAGAAAGGGGGCTAAGTGCACCCTCGTGTCATGAGATTACAGTGGGCCATGTGATGGGACTTGCTTAGCAAGTGTCTGTCACATTAGACCGCCCTCTGTCTCATCACCGCTAACCCCCTTCTGCCTCCCTCCCAGTGCGTCTATAGTGGAGTCCTGAGGGGAACCGGCAGGCAAGCCTTCGGAGCCCTGGCTAATGCGATCGCCTATTACATCATCGGACTCCCACTAGGCATCGTTCTGACCTTCCTGGTGGGAATGGGGATCGTGGGTACGTGGTGAGAGGAAAAGTCAGGGGAGCCTGAGTTGTCCCTGGACACTCTCCCCATTGTCACTTGTCTCCCATAGGCCTCTGGCTGGGCATGCTGGCCTGTGTCCTGCTGGCAGCTGCTGCCTTTGTCACCTACACTGCCCGGATAAACTGGAAGCTAGCTGCAGAGGAGGTGAGTCTACAGCCCCTGGCCTGGAGACACGCTCACCTGGCCAACCAGGTGAAGTGACCGCTCAGCGGAAATCCCCAGAGCACATTAGGCCTCAGCAGCAGTGATGGGTCAGGCCACAGCCTCAACATCTGCTCCTGTCACTGGAACTGGATCCAGACAGTGCCCATGCAAGCTGCACACCCTCCGACTATGGAGAAACACATGCCCAAACACCGCCCTTGGCCAGCCGTCTGAACCCACGTGTATCTGGGAGTGTGCATGACTTTGGGGGAGGTAATACATTATTCTGTCCACCCTCCTCTGGGAAAGGCTCGAGTTTGCTCCTCAGACACAGAAGTGGCCTGGCTCAGCCTGAAGGCAGAGCACAGAGGGTGTGTTTTCTTGAAGACCCCGATTCCCAGCAGGGCAGTTTTGCCCTCAGGTGGGAAGCAGGTTCATCTCGGCATGTAAGATAATGGTAAATATGGATTTAAAATAGCACCACTTTAAAGCACACGCCCCACCCACCAACTACAAGTATATGAGTGTGTTCTGCTTTAGCGTGCAGTTTATTTTTCATTTCTTATTTTAATTGTTGTTCAAGTACAGTATTCTTTTACTCCCACCCCAGCCCACCCCCCAGTCCTCCCCACCTACCTCCCATTTCCACACCCCGTAGTTTTTGTCCATGTGTCCTTTATACTTGTTCCTGTAAACCCTTCCTCTTTCCCCCTAAAATTCCCTCCCCTCTCCCCTCTAGTCACTGTCAGCCTGTTCTCTATTTCAGTGTCTTTGGTTATATTTTGCTTGTTTGTTTGTTTTGTTGTTTAGGTTCCTGTTAAAGGTGAGATCATGTGGTATTTGTCTTTCACTGCCTGGCTTATTTCACTTAGCATAGCATGCAATGTTTTAAAGGCAGGAGGTGGATGCATCACAACATCCAGTCAGGGAGCTTCTGGGGTGTAATCAGAAACCACCCCCAGTAGGCGGAGGGCAGGGAGAGACCACAGAAAGAGGGAGGCCACTTCAGATTGCCAAGCAGCAAATTCAACAAGCAAGGGAACCTACATAGGAGGCTTGTCTGAGGTGATAGCTAGATGACTCTGCACCCACCTGCCAGAATCTTCAGAGCTTATACAGAAGCCTTATAACTGGGCCTCAGTCATGTGCCTAGTGTGGGTCATCTCATCAGCACATCGCCCTCTCGCGGCTGTGTCCCTACACACCTTGGAGGGCAGGGAAGGCAAGCAGAGCACTGGTTACAGGTACAGGGGAGGGAGTGGGAGCCTCCAATTCCAGGTCCAGCTCCCAGTTGAACCAGCAGTGACATCTTCCTGATGGCCTTCCCCAGCAAGGCCAGCAGTGAACGGGAGGGCTGGCAGGCTAACCCAGGCCAGCTCTCTCCTTTAGGCCCAGAAGCGCATGGGGTTGCCACAGCAGGGCAAGGCGGGCACAGCGGATGAGGCGACTGAGGCCAGTGAAGCGAGCACGACCCCCAGGCTCGGGCCTGACACAGCTGCTGCAGCTTCAGGTAACGCTGCCAGGATGCTTCCACGGGGCTCCTGTGAACATGCCAGGGGCACGCTGCTCCGGGCTGTCCTACGTGTCTCAAGTGATGGGGAGCCAAGCAAGCCCAATCCTCACCACATGAAAATGATACAGTAAGCCCCAGGAAGAGGACACTAGCATCCTTCATATCCCTAGCCTAGTGAGGCAGCAAGCTATAGCCCCATAGTCAGATGAGGAGGCGAGGCTGAGAGCTTCAGCCTCTTCCTCACCGACCCTCAACTGGCAAAGGCAGGAGATCAGATCCGAGCCTGGACCCATCGGACTGAAGTGTGTTCTCACCATTCAGCTCCAGCTCAGGGCAGGAGGCCACGACCTGGCCTACCACTGCTGGTCTGGGCACCTCCCCTGTCTCCCCTCTGCACCTGTCAGACAGACAGGCACCTCTGCTTTATGTCCAGTATCTCTGAGATGAAACAAGGGCCGCAGCTCAAGGCACAGGCGCCCTCGTGCCTCAGGGCTTGCACTGAGTGCCAGGCTGCAGCATGCAGCCCAAAGCCCTTTGTCATCCAAGTGGCCGAGTCTCAGCCAGGGATGCCCAGACCGGCACAACGATGAGCCAGCTGAGACTCTGGGAATGGCTCGGTCAACTAAACACTTAATATGCATTCTGAAGTCATATGTGAAAGTTACATTCAATGTGTCATATGTCCTGACAAGGAAAGGCTGAGACAGAACATGCTCCATCCACTCTCTTAGCAGTAACTAACTTCATCTGTCCCTCAACTTCAGTTTCAGATGCTCTCCTACCTGCTCCCCTCCTCTGACCCTGCTACAGAATAGCAGACGTGTTTCTATCACACAGGCATTTTTATTGTCAAGTGCAGAGGTCAGCTAACCAGTCCCACAGCAGGACGCACGCAACCAGGCAGTTAGCTTTGGCTTCCTGCCTCCAAGGATCTTCACGCTACCACCAGCGTTGCTGAATTTGCTCCTGTTTGTCTCTGCAGTGGCCACGAGCAGCAGCCCTGGCATTACCCTGATGATGTACTCATGGCCCGAGTGCCATGTGGACCTCTTCAGGACTCCAGAGGCAGCCCACACCCTTCCAGCTCCTTCCCGCAGACTGTCAGGGAGACAGCTGGCCCTCCGCCGAGGGGCCGCTCTGGGGGCAGCAGTGGCCACACTTACTGCGGGGCTCATCGTGAGGATCCTGACCCACAGGCACTAGGGAAGCCAGGAGTGGCTGCCTCCACTGCATCCCCACAGGTCTGCCCTCCCAAAGCACCAGTGAGGTCCACTGCATGTGGACCCTTTGGACCAGTCCTCAGAAAAGGGCCTTCAGCAGGTGCCTCCTGTGACAGAGGGGCCTGAATTGTGCAGACTGACAATCCTGTCATGGTTAAATGGCTTTCTCTCCTCTGACCTGGACTGCCCTTTGGAAGACACCAGCTGACCAAAGAGTGAGGAAACTGGGATCACCACTATGATTCAATAATGTAAACAGCTTCAGGTTGGACATTTCAAATCAAAACAAAACCATGACATTAAAAAGTATGCATTTCCTAGCCATGGTCTTCTGCCCAGGTCTGTTCACAAAACCTTTAGGAAGCTCTGGAAAAGGAGGTAGTGGGCCGAGAGCCCCATCTGTTGCCGGCTCCCCTAACTCCTACTGTGAGATGCATCCCCCTCCCCCGCAGCCTGGGAGGCTATCCACAGACTCTTCCTTGCCTTTCCTCCAACCCTTTCATCCCACTGACATTCCCATCACAGGCCTTGAGAAGCCCTCATTCTTACAGGAGCGATGTGAGACAAACAAGGGCAGTGAAACCCAGATCATTCTGCCACAGGGCCTCAGGGTGAACTCAGTGTTGGGCCACATCCTAGGATGCCTCTTCTGAGACTGGTGAATGTTTCTGGGCTCCTTGCTATCTCAGGCCGCATACCTCCATGGCAAGTGGAGGGCAGACTGGCCTCCACTGCCAAGGTGCCTTCGCTATAAATAGCTATAAACACACTAACACAGAGAATGGATTTACTGATCAAGGACAATAGGAAAAAGAATGCGAAGAGTTTAACTCCCTGTCTTGAAGCACCAACATGCTATGAATTCAGCTTCATGGTGTTTTCAGTGCCCGTGGAGATATCCCAGGCCTCCTGCTCAGCCTCTGTCCTTGTCTGTGATGTACCCCTTTCATTAGTGAGCTTCTAGCACCAAATAAAACACCAAGGTACAGGGCATGGCTAAGTAATACTGTTTCTCCAGCTGTGCTCTACAGCTCACAGGTATTGAGGACAAAGTATTCCCCAGTTGACTGAGTGTGGGAACCACACTGGCACTTCACAGGCTCCACACGAGCTGGGCCTTTAATGCGCAAGCAGACTGGACAGACCCCACCAGGCAAGATGGGCAGTGGGACCACTTTCAAGTAAAACCTCATGGAGTCAGATCAGTGAAGGGGGCCTGGGGAGAAGATCCTGACACCGATTCTGGTGTGTGCTTTCTCCATGCCACTCAGCAATTCTGACACCCACTGACCGTCCCTGTCTACCTGGAGGCAACATAAGATCCCACAGGTGAAGGGCTCACCCCCACAGGACTGTCCTCCCTTCTCCCACCCTCAGCTCCAACTTCAGACCCCAGTCACAAGTCCAGGTTGTCACCTGTGCTTCTGACCAACCAGCTGCAGATTGGAGGGTCCAGGAACCCCTCCTGGGGTTCATTCAATTTGTTAACAGTGGCTCACTGACCACAGATGACCAGTTCACTATAAAAGATATATAACTAAGGGACAGCAGCTGGAAGCAATGCACAGGGCCAGGTGTGGGGTTGGGGTCCTGCCCTCCACACGCTGTCCTTTGGGGTTTATGAAGCCTTCATTCTGTAGGCATCGATCAACTCATTGGGCCTTGGTGACATAACTCAACCTCCAGCATCCCTCCCCCCACCCCGAGGTCTGGGGGTGGAACTGAATGTTCCAACCCACTAATCACAAAGTAGGTTTCCTTGGCAACTAGACCCTGTCCTTAGGTCCTGTCCAAAAGTTGTATCATTACAGTTAACAAGACCTCTATCGCTCTCGTCACTTAGGAAATCCCAAGGATGTTAGGAGCTCTGTGGCAGGAATAGCTATAAAGACCATACATAGATTTATTCTAAATTACCAGAACACAGAGGATGCAGTTGGAGAAAGCCTAGTTACTACACAGGTACACCGAAGAACTAAGGGAGCCAAAGCGGCACGCTGGGCTCTCCTGGCGCTGCCTCTACGCCAAGCCCGCCCTTGTTTCCCTGTCCCAGCTTTAGGAAACGCACTCTCGAAACAAAAAAACAAATAACAAAAAGCCAATGACAAAGTAAAACGTGAAAACTATCTTCTTAGCTAAGAATTTAAAATGAGAAAGCATGACTTAAAAGTTGACAAATAACTGCCTTTGACAAAAACAAAGTAAAATTGGAGAAAATTTATGACCAAAGAATTATCTCCAAATGATATTTGAGGCTCCACACGAAGAGTATTATTGAAATCATGCCAGTTTTATCAAATATAATATGTTTATTTTGAAGAACATACTCGCAGACAAGTCAATAATTTGGTTTAACTAGGAATTATAGTAGTGTACAATATGCTAAATGAGAATGCTATATTGAAATTGTGTCTAGGACTTTTTAATAATTGATTATTCTGATAGTTGGAGACACAGTTGAAGCATCTTTTTCCTAGTCTAGTGATTAATTCTTGACACTTCATCTTGTGATAAAGACTAACATACTTTAGACAGCTTTAATAGAACAAATTCATTCAACAAAGTTGATTATACATTCTATAAAGTACATTCTCACTGTGTGGGTGGAGTCTGTTTTCAAAAGGGAGGAAGAGTAGGGCACCCTCAGCCAGTCACACGGCCCTGCCCACAAGTGGCTACCCTCCTCCAGACTCCTCCTTAGCACTGCACAGTATCTGGGTCTTGTCAGTGGTCAGGAGAACTCCCTCCATTTTCCATCCCCTTCAGCACCGCGAGCTGCTATGATGTACAGAGTTCTTCTGCAGCCTTCTCCAAATAATCACCATCAGCCCCAGGCTCTCAAGCTCCAAAATCCTGAATATTCAGGGCTTCTTGTCCATGACAGAGAGGAAATGGTTTCCCCACATTAAGTTCTGTAGGTTATATTTATTTCAGAAGGGGCCTCTCTGAAGTTTAAAAAAATGAAATTGAGTTTCATTATGCTATAGAAATAAAAAACGTGAAGATTTGTCCTTGGAGGTCCACTCATTAGCAACTTCAGGGTCCTGACAGAGGGTCAGTGCTGTTATAAGTACAGTACTGTTATTACTACATTTAAAAATGCCAGTTAGGTTCTGTCAGAGGTTGAAGTCTACAACTCCTACATCATAAGAATGACAGGTGACACTTGAATGAAACTGGCAACTGTCCTCCAGGAAGTCCCAGGATTTACAAGATGCTTCGGGTGTGACTGGTCACAACGAGCCCTTGTGGACAGGGAGAAGAGGCTGATACAAACCAGACACAAGGCAAGGCGGTGAGTGGTTGAGAAAGGATGAAAAGCACTTGTTAGGTGGCACGTTTGATGGAAGGGCCAACTCCTGGAGGTCAGGTCTCCAGTCCCAAGGGACAAGGGACAAGGACTCTCCTGCATCCCACCCCGTTCAAGTGCCTGGGAAGATCTGTCTCATCTCTGTGGAGTGCAGAGGACTGGTGGTGACCCCAGGTAGCGCTGAGCTCTTCGAAGTTTCCAGAGTGATGGAGGCAGCAGCGGGGACAGACGGGGTGTCCCTTGAGCCATGAACTGGAGTGAGACAGTCACTGAGAGGTTCTGAGACTCCATCTCCCAGGGAGCGCGGTTTAGCCTGAGACACTCTCCTCCCCTAGCCCAGAGCGCTAAGATCTGGGTACCACAATCCAGAGCAGGTTTTCCGAGTCTCCTCACTTAGGGGGCAGTGTGGGCTTGGGCTGAAATGGCAAGTTTAATCAGGGTGCTTGGCAATGACTTTTAGGGCTGATTACAGTGCTGTATATTTTCTTACTGTTTCTGGTAAGATGTTAACATTACTGGTTCATTTACTATTTGACAGAGGAAGAATTCAGTGGAGGCACCTAGGAAGGAGGTTGAACAGGATCACTCTTCAGTAGTATCCAGCCTGGACAGAGGAGAAAGGGGTGCAGGTCACTCTGCTGGTTTAGAAACCCACCGAACCGGCTCTGGAGCGTGAGCTGGGCCTGGGGCTCTAAGTGCGTTATACAGGAAAGTGTGTCACCCCTGTCCCCAAGAAGTCCAAGTGCGATTTGAACGGAGGATAAAAGATTATGCTCTCCCCTCAAAACAGGAACAAGACAGCTGATGAGGGAGGCGGTGTTCTGGCCGGTATCACCGGGTCAACTTAGAGTAGAGACAGGAGTTTAAAATGCTCATTTACTGTCCTCACATTGTCAGCAGGAAGCTGAAAGTCTCTACGTGAAATCTGAAAACTGGTGAGCAGGGCCAAAGCCACTAAAACGCCAGAGCAGGACGGAACCCAGCCCACACCCACTGAGGCCGAAGAGGCGCTGCCACAACACGACCTTCGAGTTCAAGTGGCATATTTGATTTCCAAAGGCCGAACCCACACCCTCCACGACCAGTGCTTTCTGTCGCTTGTGTTAAGTTTCACTGGAACCTTCTCTTGTGTACTTGTATGTACACACTTACGTGTACAGAGAAAACTGCCTCCCGCTCTGAGATTCTGACATGCTCCCTTTTGATTTCCCATTTAAAAGTGTTTCAAATCCATCCTAATTCTGGCAAAGTGAATAAAATCACATCCACACATAAACAAAACAACTAGTACAGGAAAGCAATTTCAGAAAAATGTTCACAATTACAATAAATAAAGATTCCTCCAGTAAAATATGTGAAATAAAAGGTGAGTCAATGTTTTAAAAAATGGATAAAAGCTCCAAGCGAAGAGCAGAGCAGCAGCAAGAGGAAAAGAAAACCAAACCTTTACCTAGTCTCACGCTGAACCCAAACCAGTCCAGACAACTCACACACCCGCTCACAGCTCTGGGAACTGGGGGTGGAGCACAAAGGGGCCGGCCGCCCACTCACGCCCACTCCCTCCCTCTGTCGGTGGGCGAGCCGAGGCCTACGGGCAGGTAGGCTCAGAAAGGGCCTTGCCCAAAGTTATCTCAGTTGATCTCAAAGCCACATTTCTCGTTCCCAGCTGAACATGTTTATACATTGCTGCTCCTCTGGTCCCTTAGGGAGAAAGGCCTGTCTGCCAAACCCTTTGGGAACTTTGGGCAGAGCCTGCCTGGCCGGTCCCAGCCTGCCTGGCAGGTCCCAGCCTGCCTGGCAGGGTACCCTGCCCCGTGGGAGTCTTCCGAGAACCACGGCCGGCCTGGGAGCACGGTGAGGACCACCAAGCGTTTCACGAGGCTAAGGAGTCCATCCCGACCAAGAGGACACGTGTTGAGCCGGGGCTGGTGTGTCAGGAAAAGCGGAGAGGCATACACTGACTGGAGACCCAAACGCGCCTCGGACCTCAGGAAGATTGAAGAAGAATGGCA